GAAATTTGATGTATGCCATATCCGCGATAATGATGCTGCTGTACCGCAACCGTACAGTGTGTATATTGTCTGTTTCTTTTGTTGTTTTTCGCTATCTCTAAGGTACATCGCAATGTTAGTTTCTTGTTGGTAAACCTTTTTAATTATTTAGTCAAATAGAAAACTGATTTAATCGTGCGCATTTTTATTGAAAGCATGATCTTATAGTAGTTTATTTGAAAGCGAATTCGTTAAGCCGGCAACCCTGAAGTCATTATTTGTAGTCTCTTTAGATGAAACAAGCGCCATGTTATGTTATGCAACTAACGTATTGTTTTGTACTCATGTACGCATTTATTTTATCAATTATTGACTGAAGTTTTTGGTAACATCTTTATTAGTACATGGCGTTAATTAACAGGCCCTGGTTCCGTTTGTTACTTAATTCTTCATTTACTTTTATTCTGTCACGTTTTTGTATCAGTAATGGATGGCCATAGCAAAAGGTCGTACCGCCAAGATCTCACGAAGTCTTTGAAAGTGGCCTTAAAAGAATCGGAGAAACGCCACACCCCTGAAGAGGACTACGAAGAATCAGATAACGTAAATGAAATTTTGTGTTATTTTTATGTTGTTTAAGTCATTTTGAGAAATAACGTTTTTTTAATTTGGTCTATCTATGTTTTGCATAATGAGCTGCAATTGGCCATCATAATGCCTTCACAAGCTATTCGCGAATGCTTTTGCTACGTATGGGCTATTTATTGTTTTTATTTATTGTTTAGTTTCTCTCGTCTTGACCTTCGTTTATTCATTTTTTTGAAATTCAACCCACTAACTCATTATCACATAAAAATAGAATGCACATCTGTTGATACTGATATTAAATCTGTCCTTACCCTACCTCACTTCTGGTCCCATTGGTAGCCGGTCTTTTCATCCTATATGCCTAGTTGTTAATTTAGACAACTTGAATCTCCATTAAAATTCAAGATCTTTGTTTTGCGATAGCAAATCATTTACTTAACATTCCTTGGCAGTAAACATTTGAATTTGGCCGTGAATTTTTTCTCTTATTTGTTATTTACCTCACCTCGGCTGAATCATGTTGCCGATTAATCGATAGGTGTATCCGAATTATGCAAGTAAAGTGGAATGGTGCTGCACGTTATCTTCACGAACCAATTTAATGCAAAAACACCCGCTTTTGCTAAGTCTGACCTTCACTAACCAAGAATTCATTGACGGTCGTATTTTGGAATGCCTTACTGCAAACTCATAGCTTATGACGTTTTTCCACCTGCTCATAACCACATCATAGCAGTTAGCTTTTGATTTGACTTTTGATGTATAATTCAACATCTGTACGTGGGAAGTCGCATGTCTGAACTACTTTATGTTTGTGGTTGTTAGACTGAACGGAATCGGACAATCTAAAGACGGTCTGATTCCCCTTAAGTCAATTCTATTTAAAGGGTTGTGCCAGAAAACGTACATTCGTGTTAAAGGATTAGACAGAATGCTCATGTACGTAAAAACTCTCCACCTATCTCTCAGTCCTCGGCTTTTTATTTGTAGGCTGATTTCTCTCATGAATGTTTTAAAAGTAAAAAAATGTATTTTTCGTGTTAGGGCGAGAACGAAGATGAGATGCTTTCTTCTATGTCCCCACGTGAGGAAGGAGAGGCTTTCTCTGAGGAGGAATATCCGTTTCGTAGAGACCGAGAGGAAGGCGAAGCCTCGAGTGATGAAACTAATGCCATCACGAATGCTGAACAACAAGAGCGTGAGTATCGCCTTCGATTAGCACAGCGGAAAGCGCAGCGGGAAGCAGAGGCAGCAGCTATCGCCCTCGTTGCACTCCCTCGGTCAAAATTCGACTCCCCAGAAAGGAAATCGGAAGAGCTAAGTGTGGAGGACCCACCGGAGAAGGATAATTCGCTCAAGCCCACAAGCTCCGGTGAGTTATCGGGGACCTCTTTAGCTGAGTGCTTGACGTTCTTAGGGGTGTCAAGTTCAGGTGGCTGGGGACCCAAGTCGGCACGCTCTATAGTTGAATCCGGAAATTTCTCCTTTCAGATGCTTTTCAGGAGCCCACCTCTCCTAGTGGCAAGCACTCTCACAGACGTAGCCGCGATCGTCGAAAGGAAGTATCTGTTACCTCCACAACCGGCAAAAGATCTTCCTCATCCCGGCATCATCACCACCAAAAGAGGTGTGACTCACAACCCGACTTACTCAGATATGCTTCCTCCAAAAAACCACGCCAATCACCGGATCCTCCCCCATCATCACGTAACCGGTCGCGTTCACCCCCACGTGATCGAGTAGTCACCGTAAAAGAAGACCCACACGTACCTCCTCCCTTGGAACCTTCAGGTTTACCCTCTCGTCTGGCCCCCGGACGTGCCCCAATAATCGATGGAAGTCAGTTTAAGTACTTGGAAGAAGAAGAGGAGGAGGATGACGATGAGGAGGAGGCGCATGGCGTGTTAGAGGATATGATGGTAGACGACGCTGGGCAGGTTGACAGCTTGCAGGAAATTTCGTCGGAAGAACACAATTTGGAGCCAGCAAAACCGTTCTACTATCCTTCCATTCAGGTTGGTCGCTGACTTCCTTCCCTTTCTGACTGTACTGTTACAGGTCATCTTGTTTGCCTTGTTTTTAATGCATTTAGCTCATTTGTGACGCATTCCATTACAACCAAGTAAAACTGCGCTCTATTTCTGTGAAAAGGCCCTTTATTATCTTTCAATTTTATCCTTCCTAACAGGGATGCCGTTCTGTTGACGAATTCGAATGTCTAAATCGAATTGAGGAGGGAACTTACGGCGTAGTATATCGTGCCCGGGACAAAAAAACCAACGAAATCGTTGCACTCAAGCGCTTGAAAATGGAGAAGGAACGAGAGGGCTTCCCAATCACCTCCCTCCGTGAAATCAACACTCTCATGAAAGCCCAGCACGAAAACATCGTCACTGTGCGTGAAATCGTGGTTGGCTTCGATCTGGACAAGATTTACCTCGTCATGGAATACGTGGAACATGATATGAAGTCGCTAATGGAGGTCGTCAATCTTTTCCCACACAGATCGTTTAAGTCGTTAGTGTTTTTGCTATAAACTCGTTTTTGGTTTCAGGTGATGAGCGGACCCTTCACTGTGGGTCAAGTGAAGTGTTTGTTAATCCAATTACTTCGCGCTGTCAGTCATTTGCACGACAATTGGATTCTTCATCGTGACTTGAAGACATCGAATCTATTACTAAGCCACAAGGGAATTCTTAAGGTAAGTCAAAAAATTCCTTTATGTATCCTTCAAGCATTCTTACCTAAATACTTTCCTGCTTTTTATACAGACATGTTAATCAACCAAGTTAGAGACCGTAATATAGCTGTCCATTTTAGTTCCCATCAGTGGATCAGCCGTAACAGATGGCACCGGCCTGCCTCATGATAACACCGGCACAAACCAGCGGTCTTGGAATCAGCCAACCGCTTCAAGGTTTTGTGATCTTTGCACTGACGTTCACTCACTCCTATCGCCTGTTGTGCTGTCTCAAAATGCCACGCAATCCTCCGTAAAATAGCGTCTGTTGGCATTAATACGCCAGCCAATATTTGCCCACATAAATCAAATATACATCATGCTTACTTTATGTTTGTAAGTAGAAGCATATTTACAAACTGTATTATTTCAGGTCGGTGACTTTGGGTTAGCACGTGAATACGGCTCGCCTCTTCAGCATTACACCGAAGTCGTTGTCACGCTGTGGTATCGCGCCATCGAACTTTTACTAGGTAAGATCTTTTGGTGTTAAAAATTTGTTATTGCATAGCGATTGTATCAGATGTAGAAAACCACGGAGGATAAATCTTGTGGTTTCAGTGACTCACCTTATCCGAAGCACACGGCAGACGGCCCAGTGCATTTTGTTGCAGCCGATTTCATCCGATTGTCGCATGGTCTTGTATCAAACTAGTCAATTTCTGGGTGGATGTTCGTTACACAATTTGCTCGATTTTGAGCTGCGTTTTGTGTACTATCATCCCAAGTGCTGCATTACATCAAATTGCCGACATTGGATGTGCACATTTCATAAAAATGCGAGACTGTTTGCACTTTTAATCGTCACTTCCTATCGGTTTGGTGGACCTGCAAATTTATGTAGTTGGTTTCCTCCTGAGTAAATCGTGTATGATTATGTTACGCGTCTGAAAATCTGCCTCAGATCCGACGTGCCGCATTGTTCCATCACGTGTTTGTGTATCAAATTTGACCTTCACTGTTTCAAATAGTGTTTGCTTCTTTTAGGCAGCAAATCGTACTCCACGCCCATCGACCTTTGGTCAGTGGGCTGCATTTTCGCCGAGTTTCTTCTCCAGCGACCCCTGTTCCCGGGGAAGGGCGAGGTTGACGAGATTAACATGGTTTTTCGTGACCTCGGCACACCGAACGAACGCATCTGGCCCGGTGTCACCCAGTTGCCTGGAATGCGAAATGGCGTCTTTACTGAATACCCCTACAATCAGTTGCGGCGTCGGTTCACGGAGAAGCAGATCTCGGACGCCGGGTTTGATCTCCTCAGCAGGTGGTTCCTTGTTCCTCACCTTTGCAATGTGTGCCTTGAGATTTGCTCATGTTTATCTTTGTCAGCGTCTCTTCGTATCCAATTTCGCGGTTCGGATGGCAGACTGTCCGACAAAGCGCGTTCATTGTCATGATTTCTGCCCGCCTTTGTCACTATTTTTTTTGTTTTTCAAGGTAGAATAATCCCGTTTTCTATCACTAAATGTTATGGATTCTATTTAAGTGTTATATCACTCGATGTGTCGATTGTCTACCTCAGTTTAGCGTCTAATCAAGTTACTAGCTAACTATTTCGTGTTTCGATTATCGCTCCAAGTGAATTCAATTTACTAAAAGCCTTGCGATAATTCTTTTTAAACTCCAAATTCATGGGCAACTCATCTTACTCCCAACCGCCTTTTGTCAATTGCTCTTGTGATATTACTAATAAAGAAGGCCATCCAACTCCTGTCGCTACAGCGCCAACTTGTGGCGGGTTTTGGTGTGGTCTCCGCCTTTTACTAAGTTTGCCTTCTTACGTGTAGATTTACACCAATTATCGTTAGCCCATTTCGCCCATTTACTCAAATTCATACAGGCCTACATTGTTCCTGGTCTTATTTTCGTCTTAATGTGTTCACAAAAGTATGAAGTCACAGCACTCCCGCTGCGCAGGCCTCTGTATGCATTGCTTGTTCAAATTTTACAACTCTGACGCCGATAGTCAAACCATCACGCTATTCCAACATCGTGTATTTCCTTCCCCTTCATTTTCCTCGAAGGTCTGTGTAACAACGCAGGTGGGATTCTGGGACCTGTACCTTAGACTTATTTGAACAATGATTTTGCCTTTCACAAACGTACTATAACTCCCCTTGACCGAATTGATTTTTCAGCCTACATGGACCGGCTGACTTGGTTGATTGGTGTTGGTTTCACTCTTCACGTTCTTTTACTTAATTCACGTAGCTTTCTAACCTATTGCCCGGAACGCCGTATCACCGCTGAGAAGGCGCTCTCTCACCGCTACTTTAAGGAGAGACCCCAGGCCATACACCCCTCCATGATGCCGAGCTGGCCGGCCAAGTCTGAGGGCGGCGGTCGCCCCCACCGTCCCGCTTCTCCCCGCCCACCTCCTGGGGCCCTTTTGAACATCTCCTCCTCCTCCAACTGCCCTCTGCAGGAACCCCCACCACCTCTCGGTGGATCCCGGTTCTTCGGCAATGCCTCAAAACGATCCCCCTCTCGTAGCGCAACCGGTGGAGGAAGCGGGATCAGGGGATCGGGTCCTGATCATGGATTCCTTTTGAGATTTTGACTTGTGAATATACACTTGTAATAAAATATTTTCTGCTCTGTACAAATATGACTTGTGATATTCGTTCATTCACTTGCCTGTTCGCACTTCCTCCAGCTGTACTGCCATCCTCTTGGTGGTGTGTCGTAAACCTGCACTGTCCCTATGCACATTCCCGTGTTAATGTACCAGTTCCTGAGTTGTGGTCGCCTCAAATGCGAAGTTGGGCCGTTAAGCGTGGCAATATTATTAATCTATATCGAATGGGTTTTGATCAACACAAATGAACGTACCTGCTAGTAATTGTTCAGGTATACAAATAGTTTGGTTTTGCAGTGATAACTGGTTGTCCTACGCAGTGTGCACTCAACTATAAACCCGATTCGCGCAAAGTGCAAGTATCACTGCTGCAGAAGTCTCATCGGATTTTCTACCAAATTAGCTTAATCTGATGTGCATTATACTTAAACGAGTTAAAAGGTTCCAACTTGTTTGCTTTCTGTTGTCCCTTTCACAACGTTTGTTGGTTAGACCCTTGTCGTGTTTGCTTACATACCGTTGGATCTTTGTTGTGTAATTTGTTGAATTTACTTGGAATCATCTGGGGCTTGCTGGTACACCTAATTCTAAATTATTGTCCTTATGTAGTGTTTTATCCTCTCAAACGCCTTATAGCAAAGCTTTGGCTTACTTCGACTGTCTATCACATTGAATGCGTTCTTGACTGATGAGGTTCTGTCGTCCCCTTCCGTTGTGCTATAAAATCAGAAGAGAAGCAGTGGCAGAGCATCTGTGGTTGCTTTTTCGCGTTTCCCAATCGATAAACTGGTAGTGTTAGTTCATGAAGCGCATGGACCTGGGAAATACGCCACAGTCCTTCGTTAAATTATTAGGTGCGACGTTGCGTTAACTTGATTTCCAGCTGGGTTGTTTTAAGTTTTAGCATAACAAAGTGTAAATTCAGGGGCCTCTCGTGTGTACGAATTTGTTTGCATTGCATTAGTTTCTTTACGATACGTGAGGTCTTGGATTTAGGAGGCTCCACCTCTCAAAGTCACAATCCAAGCAACCTTTTTCTAACCTAACCAGCGGTAACTTTAAAGTTATCGCTCGTGAAACAGCACTGTTATGCTTGTCAATGTGGTTCAAAGATGTTTTTGCATTTCGTAACATCTAATCCTAACAATGTATAATGAAATTTATTTGTCATTCCCTCAGGCGTTCCCCCTCTGGCAATCCTTTGTATTGTTGAGGCCCTTTACCATCAAAAGCAACTCAGGAAGGAAATAGATCCAGAGATGGCTGGCACGACCGTTCACTGGATAGCTCAACAAAGTTGTGTCCGTACTTATACAGTTGAGTGGATATGTAAAAATAAACACTGGCGTCTGTGAGGTTACATGAATAAAGCGGGCAGTGGTGGTACATGCAGAGGGGTTAATGAACCGGCGGCCTCGTGTGACTGACTGGCACGCCGTGAAAAGGGTGAAGTGTGTTGGAAGCTACGACGACTGGGTTATTGGATGTGAATCAACACGATTAACTGCAGTATTCGGGCCATATCTTAACCCCTGTCTCCCGCTATGCGCATTAGTGCCAGTGTCTCCCTTAAATGGTAGCATCACGACTTTTTACGGGTAAAAGCGTCGTCAGCTAGGAGATCCGCCCATCCCTTGTTCCGTTATTTCGCCAAAAGAAAATGTTCCTCCCTGGACATCCCTAAATTTAAGTTCAATCTTATGCATTGGACTTCATTAGTATAATCAGTACTCAAGCTGCGTTTTAGTCTCCGCAAACTGCTATCTTTCGTGGTTTTTTCGTCACTTTAAAGGAATCACCATGGCCGGCAAGAATAGCCAAATTCCCCCAGACTTGGAATTTACTTTGGAGGAAATAAGCGCCGAGTTAGCGAAGTTGGGAATCCGCGAGACCTCGCCTACTCGGTTGTCAGCCATAAAGGCGGACCTTGATCAGATGATCGCACGTGACCTTGCTTTGCCCACCAAAGCGGACGAAGATTTAAGCGACCACCTCCAGTCGGACACCACCCTCACCAGATCGTGGTCCTCAACCTCTCTTAACGTACGTGCTTGATTTGTTAGCGCAACGACGCATTACTAGCATAACCCCCGTTTTCACTGCACCCCAAATCCATTGATGAGGCTGTTTATTCGTGTTAACAAAGCACTGGCCTGCGATTGTTACACACGCGTCGGAGGTCAGGGGCAACAGCTAACCTTTTAGTTGTACTGATGGCGCTTGTTGACTGTACTTGTCACAAAATAATCGTCCAGTTTTATCGTATTAAATTTCCTTTATGGCACTTATTCGATTTCAGTCTAATCACACCGTAACCAATAGAACCAACCACAATACGGCGAACGGTCGTAGGAGTTTTAATCCACCTCGTCAAGCGTTCGTCGCGGCCTCATCGCCCTACGGTGATGTGTCTTCCTTCACCTCTGACTCCTCGTTCCAATCTCTCCCGCCAAAGGACAGTGGAACAGAGGTGACTGACGACGATGACAGCATCCTCGCTTCAGGGTATGGTGGGACTAGTGACGAAAGCGTGTCATCCTCCTCAAATTCTGAATACCATCATCTCGCTGGTGATCGACGCTTGCCTTTAATTCGTAAGTTGTTAGCTGTCATGTTATTCCGTCTAACTAATCTCACCAGCAAGCCATAGCTCATAATGTGTACCGATGTAGTGTTCGCCTGCTTGCCCCCTATAGCAGTATACACGCATAGATGCTCTTTCCGTGCATTTTTTGGTGTGCTTCACTCCTGAAAGTTAACTGAAACATTGCTACCACGCTGCCCCCCCCCCCC